CCCGTCCAGAGTGACGTGCTGCCAGTGGCCTACCCGTCTAGGGGGCTTGCCGCCAGTGGCCTACCCGTTCAGAGGGACGTGCTGCCAGTGACCTACCTGTCCGAATGCCCAGGTCACGTGTGGTCGCCCAGCGCACTTCCGCTGGCCCGGACAATAAGTACCTTGTGAGTCTGGTCTCGCGCTCTGTGCCGCGGCCTCAACAGGACAGCTGTCGGACTGAAGACGCATCTTCCTGACCATTGATTACCGGGTGCAGGTGTTTTCCGGCGCGGAGATACGAACACGAGCGCGTGCATCATCACTGTGTGGGTGTGGGAATACGTACACAAAAAAAGATATTGACAAAATTTTGGATAGCTTGAAATTAATTGAAAACAATTTCCAAGTAAATACCCTAGGTATTTCTCTGAAAAATGACTTCGCAAAACTATTGTACAGGGTGGTCCACAGACCCCTTCCTTTATTTTGCTTATACTGTACCGCATGCAGGCGTGCGGGCGCGCTTGCCTACCGTTGCTCCCCACGGCGCCTTACGGCCCCGTGCGAGTATGCAACCCGTCCGCACACCTACATGCGGTACAGTATGCGCAAAAGGAAGGGGTCAGTGGACCACCCTGTATATCATGTCGTGGACAGGGCTTTTTTTCTGAACGGATTACGCCGTTATAGTCCTTGGTTGCTTCTTGAGACTTCGGCATTGACGGAATCCGTGCACGAGTTGGCATGAATGACGCACTGTCAGGGTGATCGGTACTGGTATAGTTCGGCGGGATTCTCCGAAGCCGGAGCGTACAGGCTGTCCATCATCCCCGATAGTTCCTGAGGGAAGGAGTACCTCGGACGGCGCGTAGCGGGGGACGCGGGGCCCCGGGACCTGTGGTGTATTGGACAGACGCTGTGTAGAGGACGGAATGGCGGGGTAGGGGGGAGGAAGGGTGGGCCGCAGTGCCTTCTGGTTCCGGCCCCGTTTGGACGTGGTGGACGCCGCGGCGCAGAGGGCCGCGGCGGGTGGCTCGGTCTGCGCCGGGCCGTGTCTGGGCGCCCGGGCCAGGGCGGCACCCTGCGCTCATGCGCCCGGCTCGTCCTTGCCAGGCCGCGCTGGACGCGACTGGTGAGGACTGGACGCCCTCGCCCGCCAAGTGGACGACGACGACGACGTCGTCGTCGTGCTGCCTCTGTCGCTCGCACGGGGTGACGCGCGGACGCCGGTGAATGTCAGACAAGGACGGCCGCGCGCCAAGGTGCTGCTCGTCCCGGACGCGCATCCTGTCGCCCTGCCCGCCGCCGTCGGCCGTCGCCTCTTCTGGAAGGCGTCGGCGTCGTTGCGCCCGTGAGGTGGGCAGCCCCTTGCGCGTCCCCGCCCGCCGGTACTCGCGGTGCTACCCGTCGCTCGCCAGATGAGTTGCCTAGCTCTGCGGCGGCCGCGGCCACACGGTGATTTTTTTTCTTGCCCTCCCCCCCCTTCCTTTCCCGTGCTGGTTTTGCACAGAAATTAAGGGCCGTGCAGCGCCATTTCCTAGGGCCAGAGGCTCCTCGTCATGTATAATCAAAGGCGGCAAAGTTTTCCACACTCAGCCCGTCCCCCGCTCGTTTTCAGGGCCTCCCCACTCCACTTTAAGGACCCTCCCTCCCTCTCTCTCTGTGTCCCTCCCCCGTGCACGTGATCCCTATCCCTCTCCCCGCCTCCCTCTCTCTATCTCCTTCTCTCTCTCCGTCTCTCTCTGGTGCTACCTCGGTCCTCGTCCCTCCCTCCGCCGAGCCGCCCTCGCCGCCCCCGCCGCCCCTGCCGCCCCGCTGGTCCAGGGGACACGCGTTGATAAAACACGTTGTCGGACGTCGCGACCGGCCAGTCTGCTGGACAAGGAGCGCCTCACCGAGGGCTGCCCACCCGGGACCTCACCGCGACCTCAGTGACCTCCGACATGCTGCTCAGGCTGGTCGTCGTGGTGAGTGTTGCGCATTTATCGATTTTTTGGTGCCGATCGATTCCATTCACTGGTGGACCCAGCTCACTAATTATTATCTATTCATTCGGTTAAAGTTTCGAAGAAATTTTATGAAGAAGTTTCGTTTAAATACTGGGATATCTATTGAATTTGATTTACAATGGAGCCTTGCCTGCTGAAATTGGTATTCGCAGATCTGGTTCAATCTGATATGATTCACTCTGGAAAAGTTTTCATTTTGAAGTTCCTCCATTTGAGCCTGGTTGGAGTGGAGAGGTGGCCCAGTCGAAGAATGCTCTTCCTTGAGGAGAAGGGGCGCGACGAGTGACTTTTGATCCTTGGAATTTTAGTGAAGTGTGTGGATTACGCCTGCCAGTGAGACGGGAGTTCGGACGTTACTGTCCACTGACCAACAAAAAATCTTGTATCCAGTTTTCGGACAGTGGTAATTCATTCAAGTGCTGATTCCAGTTAAATGGTCAACTTTTGCCGCCAACTGACCTGAAAGGTTTCGTCTTAATTTCTCAAAAAGTTTGAAACTTGTTATTATTGTATTTGTCATAGAACCGTCTGTTCCTCTTTCTTACTTTTTTTTTTATTTTTTAAGTTGCTAATGCTATGTGTCTCGTGCTTGTAGGTGGCCGTCGTGGCCGTCGCTGCGGAGTGCACGAGCAGCACGTCCGGGACGACCGTCAGCAGCACCGCCGAGTGGGTGGCTGGCTCCGGGGACCGCGAGGTGTGGGTGGAGCGCGGCCGCGAGCGCGGCAGCTGGGAGGAGCGGGACAAGCCGCCGGAGCAGACCCAGGAGCAGAAGGACTGGGAGACGCGCGTCCGCGAGCGGGAACGCGAGCGGGAGCTGGCGTGGCGGGAGCAGGCCGAGGCGCGGGCCGAGGTGCGGCGCCTCATGGAGGAGCGCGAGCGCGCCGAGGAGGAGATGCGGAACGCCGAACTCACCGGCGAGGCCACCTCGGCCTCGGCCACCGCCGCCACCCCGTCCTCGGCCACCACCGCCGCCGTGCGCAAGCTGCGGAGCGGCGTGGACGACATGCTGCCCCGGCGGACGCGGTGGTGAGCGCCGCGGCCGCCCCGCGGGTCCTGACCTCACCCTCGCCGCCGTGCCACCGCGCCCAGTGGCACGGCATCGATTGTATTCCCTCCCGGATGGCCCCGGGGCCCCGCGGGTCGCGGGTCCTGCCCTGCGCGGGGGAGGAAAGGCCTCGGACGACTCCACCACCACCTGCTCTTCGCGACAGCGGCAAGTTCAAGGTCGGGCCGCTGGCGGCCGCGGCGCGTGCACGATGGGCTGCCCGCCGAGCGCGGCGCGGCGCGCACCCGGGCCGCGGGCCGCGACCGCGAGTGCGGGAGGGACGGACGATCTGTGTTGATGCTGTCGACAGTGTACCAATTTTCATCCATTCTGGTCCGCAGCCTTCGGCGTCATTGTCGAAAACTAAATGTTCCTCAGTGTCACCGCAGTACCTGCTTCATGTCACAATGAAGATTCCGAACTGTATTTGTACACATTTTGTATAAAACCAACTCTTAAATTAACGACTCTTTCATTTCCACTTCATCTTCACTTCACCAAACAAACTTGAATTAAAATTGATTTCACAAAAAATAAAAGCAGACATTTTTACAAAACCAATTTACTTTGTCATGTGATATTCAGAAAATAATGAAGTACTTTTACAATAATGATATAAATTTTTACTAAAAAGTATGGGCTCTGAGTCACCACCAGAAGCATATCGCTACGGAGGGGAAACTCGTGCAGTCAAATCTAGGACGTCAGTGACGTCACAGCTCAATGACTGGCGCGGCAGATGAGGCAGACACGGCCGGCGAGGCGGGCACGACTCGAACAAAAGAGCACCTGTCGGTGACCAAGGACAAATGTCTCTCGTGTGTACTCAATCGCAGTAAAGTGGATCAAAGCTCTGACCCCGAAAGATACCTGCACTTACATGTAGGGCAAACTCTTACTTTTGGACTGATCACGATGACGATAAGATTGCGAGTTGAGTAAGTACTTTTGGGCGGATGCCATGTTTTCGAGTCTGCGTGCAATTTCGTACTTTGCACGATGTGGGCAGGGGGTGGGTGGG